ATCCGGTTCACATGGTGCAAGGAGTTCAGGTAAAGGCTATGAAAAGTTAGGAATTCCCCAAGGTTATGTCATCCAAGAATAAATGGCGGTATCATGGCGTATATTGGGGCTTTCGTCTAGGACATATCTTGGGCTGTCATAAATAGAAATATACATCTACATCTTTCCAAAAACCACACACGTACCTTTGACAGTTACTCACATTGATTTCCAAAACATTAGTCACAACTGTGATATCGGAATATTGTTCGAATCTATTTGCAATCCCTAAAAATGTACTACTTACACTTTATATTACTACCTACTAGATAGATATTAAAATATAGTACATGCCAACTATTATCAGTCAAAACACATTTTCATACCAAAACTTATCATTTGTATTTATGAATTTCTTAATAATTAATAATAAAATCTAAGTATTTCCTTATAGTAGTAGTAGTAAATTTATAATCGATTCGGTCTATCTAGCTATACTAAGACCATACAATATACCTATATATAATTCTAATTAAATAAAATAGATGGAAAAAAGAAATAAAAAACTTACTTTTTTTTGAACTTCTCTATTAAAATCTATAAGCAATCTTCCAAGTAATCCTTTCAAGTTCTTTAAGTTATTTATATTATTGATTTATTCTATTCAAAAACCTTCTTTTTATTAAATCTTTTAATATATTTATAAAAACCTTATACTTTTTATTCTATTACAATAATCCCTTTCTTTCTATTCAACTCTTTTCAAAATATTATAAAAACTATAATTAATTATAATATTGTATTCCTCTTAAAAGATTATCTTTATCCTCCAATTGTTGAGATTACTTTGAGGGGGGGGGGGGAGTCGTCAACTCGAATCACCATATACAGCACTGTATAGCCTATACAAAATGAATAATATAAATTGAGATGATCTAGAATAAGGTATGATTCTTCCCACTATATATATAATGGGAAGAATCATGTGATTCGCTTAAGCACGTGATCATACGTTCCGACACTAATACTTCGAGTCCTTCGGGAATCCTATTATAACCCCTAATCTATTACTTATAAGCCTTATATTCACCTTCTCCCATAATACGTTGATAATATATAATTTCTTTTTAAAGTTTAATATCTCTTATTCTCTTTCCTTCTGTCAAATTACCCTATCGATATAAGACATATGTTACGGGAGCTGCCTCTAGGGTTACGTAGAAGTGTCTAGAGATCTCTCGAGGTAGTTTAAACTAAACTTCAAGTAGGAATTCAATAAGGTTATAATTAGTTATAATTCTTGTAATTATAATAATGAAATTAATAATTATTCTTAAGTACAAAGCTTTACATTATAATAAAACCTATTCCTTTATATAGATCTTTGTTCTTTGTTATCCTATTGATCCTATTGTGTCCTATTAGGTGGGAGCAGTAGGATCCAGTGGGAATCCCTAATCCTGTGACTTCCTGATCATGTGATACGGTATGTTGGATGCCGTCGTAACAACATAATATATTAGGACTTATCGAATCATTTTATCAATATAAGAAATAAGACTATATTATAGAGCTAGATAGTTGAATAAAATTGAAATAGTAAGTATAATAATATTGAAATGCTATTGCTTTAATAATATACGCTCTACAATAAAGAATTACTACTTCTTTAATTATATGTTACGGGAGCTGCCTCTAGGGTCACGTGGAAGTGTCTAGAGATCTCTTGAGGTGGTTTAGATTAAACTTTAAGTAGAAATTCAATAAGGTTATAATTAATTGTAATTTTCGTAATTATAGTAATGAAATTAATAATTGTTCTTGAGTATAAAGCTTTATATTGTAATAAAACCTGTTCTTTTTATATAGATCTTTTTGCTTTATAGAACTCATAGTTCTGTTCTACTTGGATCCCTTGGATTCTAAGCTTCAAAAGCTCCTGGCTCCTTAGATCCTAGGCTCCAAAGGCTTCAGCGTCCTATCACATGACACTTATCACGTGATCCAATGTTATCCGTCGTAACATTATAATTAGTAATATATCATTTATTATATAAAATGATATCGAAATCGGTATTTTATAATAATGTTATATACTAATATAAAATACTATATACCTGAATCAACATATTATAAATGTTTTTTGAAAGGTTTGACTTTTCTCTTCATTATATAGAGTAGCTATAGGTATATTAGTAGAATATTAAATGCTATATTGATATATTTTTTGTAAGATATTTCTTGAAAAAAGTAAGGTTTTTTGAAAAGTTTTTATCTTTCATTATTTTATACTTAAAAACCTTCTTCTTTATAATTGAAATCCTCTCGTAAGATCTTCGAGTATTAAAAAGCCTAAATTATTATAGGAATTTATAATTTAATCTCTTCTATTAATTATATTTAATATGAAAAGTTTATTATTAATGATATCAATATTAATAATTCCAATATAAATATATTAAACCCCTCTCTTTAACATTAATAATAATATCTTCTTAACTTAACGTGGTTTATCATCGAGTGGCCTATATCATCAAGTGGCCCACTTTCACCTCAATTTACACTTTCAAACCCATATTATTCAACAATAATTGAATTAATTGATTGAAACTATTAATAATCTAATAATCTAGGATCTATTACATTATTTTAACAGGTTCTTATATTATATCCTGTCTTTCTGTATTTACTATAATATTAATTAGAAGATGCTTCCCCATTAGAATTCCTTTCTTTTTAATGCTTATCATATTGAATCTGAATATCAACCTCTTATTGAGATAATATATTAAGAGTCTTTTATTCAATAATTACTCCTCCTTAATATAATTGAGTTTTTTTTATGTGTTAATGCTTGTTTAATACCTCATTTATTATTCGAAGTATACGATTCTTTATATTTAAAAGTATATTCTTATAAGCTAATCTCTTTATACCTTTAATTAAAGCTAGTACAGTTTTGAATATAAATATAAGAAAGCTTGATTAATAACAAGTTATTCGAGATTTAATTAATATTGATTGAGAAAGAGCTTCTATTAGGTTACAAGGGATTTAAAAGATCCATTAATCTAGATCGAAAAAGGAAAGAGTAAATATGCGAATTTGAATATTTAATTTCGAGAGTATAGCTTTAGGATTAAATAGGATTAAACTTGTTCCTTAGAATCCTAATTTCATATTCTAAAAGGTGATTAATTCCTTATATATAGCTTTAAAAGCTATAAAGAATTCAACCTTTGAAATATAATTGATATATGTCTTAATAAATCCATTAATTTGATTATTATATAAACATTTTAAATTGTTAAAATAATCAATATCAAGTGGTTAAGTTAAATAATTTGAATATAGTAGTAAATGTAAATATATAATATTATTCTCTTTATAGTATATTTGAAAAGCTATTAATTCATGGTTTTCATGTCTATCCAGTATTAATATTCGATATTTACTCTTTCTTTAATTCTTAATATACTTATTAAAATGTTTTAATTATTCTAAACCCGTTTTATTATTCGTTTATTCATTAGATATAGGTTTAATAGCCTATTCCATAAAAAGATTTGTTTCGGTATACTAATTAGAGAGATAAACTTATCCTTAAATTATTAGAAATGAGGGAATAGTTTCATTCTCTTTATTTTCATATATTATTGCTATAGTTTATTCTCGATTATCTAGTTATACTATCTTATTTTTATTATTTCGTTTAGTATTAATTACTATTATTATTATATATATAATTCTTATCATAAAGCCTATTTCATCAAAATTATAGAAATCTTTGTTCAAAATACTATATTTCACTTATATATTTACAACTAATCGAAATCATTCTTCAAGAAGTTTAGAATTCTCATAAAAAGTTCTTTGAAAGTTATAAATATAATTAAAAAATATCTTTAATTTGATTCAACACTTTACAAATCGATATACTTAGAACTTCCTAATATATTTCGTATCCCTTAATTCAAGAATATTATTTACTATATCTTCCACATTTTTTAATTTAAATAAAAATCCTTTTAAATCTATATCAAATATATATTAAACAATTATCTTTTCTTTTAATTCTATAATCTTATAATAATTCGCTCAAGTTTCTATATAAAGAGATAAACCTTCTATTTTATATCGAAAAGTTATATAAGGAATATTATAGAGTATAATAGCCTTTCAAATACTTAATTTTTTATCTTTATAAATAGCTTCAATAATAAGGAATATATAAGCTTCTTAATTATTTGAATTTATTATAGATTGTTAATAAAACACATATTGAAAGAGATAGATATAAATTGAAATAAAAATAGGCTACTCGATGATATGAGCCACTTGATGATAAACCACGTTAGATAAATATCAATTCGATAATTTCGAAAAAGAGTAGAAAATGATATTCTGATTCGAATACAATAAAGATTAATAGGTTTTTTTAAGAAAATCTTTCCTTGGTTTTTTCGTGTTTTCTTTTCTTATATATATTAATTTAATTTTATAAAATATTAAATAAAAATAATATTGATTTTTTTTAATATTTTATCAATTGAATTATAGAGATTTAAAGTTATATTATTTTAAAAAATAATAAGATTTATTAATAAAATAAGTGAAAATCAAGTGAATTTTTTGAGATTTTAATTTAATTCTATAAATTTTCATAATATAAATTTCTAAGGATTTTAAAATTTTAAAAATATCAAATTGTATTATAAAAACTTTATAAAAATAAATTTTAAAAGAATTTTATTTATATATTATAAAGATTTTAGTATTTGAAAGTATAATAAAATATTGATTTTTAACATGAAAATGAATTTGAGCTGATAGTAGTTAATTAGTACTATACAACTTTGTATTGTCAAAGGGAAAAAATCACTGGTAGCGGTGGCTCTCAAATGGCAGAATTCCTGATGCTGCCGTATGTAGTTTAGCGTGTAGATAACCTTGTTCTCGGATTATAGATCTTTGAGCTTGCGATAGTTACAATTCAATACGGTCAATTAATTGACAGGTGAAAAAGGAAATTCAGAGAATTGACATTAAATTTACGGGAAGTAAATACAAACAATAATCTAAACACTCCTCTCCGCGTCCTCCCCCGTCTCTCCATGACCCATATCACGAACCATGCTGCTCAGTAGCAGTAACGCCAGAGGCGCACGAGGAAATTCCAAAAGTTCACGAGGATCAAGAGGTCGCGGACAGACGGGTCGAGGAGCTTCAAACAACTCTTCTGGTAAGCCCCATCCCACTTTCATGACATCCATCAAAATCTCAAGCATTGACCGACAATATCAACATATATCACGGGAAGTTCCATGCTAGAAATTAAAGATTCATCAACTCAAGCATTTGCATCATTATTATCATTGAAAGAAACTCACACAATTTTGATCATTTAGCTACACCACCTGCTAGTGCGACAACAACGACAGATCCATTCGAAAAAGCGCGACTCGAGAATGCTGCGAAGCGCGAACAGAGGGGCCAAAACGGGACTGCGACCAATACCAGAGGAAGAGGTTCATCGCGCGGAGGGCTACATAGCAATAAACAAGTCCGATTCGCGACTCCACCATTCGAGGAACAAACTGGCCCTCCTGCCAACGCAACACCTTCAGATATGAATAATTCTTTTGGATCGGGGACCGCCACGCTCTCCAATCCATTCTCATTCACTACAAATACAAACACATCAACAAATGTCTTCGGGGCACCTACTGGACCTAAAAGCAGTTCGTCCTCGCCATTTGCTCCTTCATCTGGCTCCAATCCTCCTAACACCAATGTTTTCGGATCGATAGGTGCAGCTCAGCCTACAGCAGTAAACCCATTTGCTTCTTCAAATGCATTTGGCGCTGCATCCCCTTCATCGAACTTTGGCATCCCATCAAGTGGCTCTACAACTCCTTTGTCTTCCCTGGTCAATTCTCAAAACCCGGGTATTTTGAAAGGAACGAGAGGCGCGTCCTCAAAACAAGTCTCACTCGAGAAGAAACCCGAGAAACCTGCCCCGCAAAATACCTCGAAAAAGTCGGTCCAAGTAAATAATGGCTTTACAGATAAAAAGAACAAAGCATCCAACCAGTCGAAGTCAGGCTTCGAAAACGTCTCATCCACGACTTCGGACATGGCCTCATTTGCCTCAAGCAGTGAGCTAGCCACTAAGATTAACGCTCTATTACGAAAAGAGAAAATCGCCTCTCCACGATGCAATGCGAAAAATCCAGGGGATCCTCGCGAGAAGGCAGCTGTAAAGAGCTATTTAGATGAGCTTAAGAAGTATCGAGCACGCGTTCGCGCATCCCTCATCAAAGGCGGTTTCATCGACGATCCTCTCAAACCAAAGAAACTCAGCGAAGCTATCGATTTCAAAGGAACATGCGACCAGATGTGCCCAGAAGAAGAAATCATACGAAGAATCATCGAAGATGATGTTCAGCGTGCCGAAAAGGAGCAAGCCCCTGACGGATCCATGCGTCCTTCACCTCAAATGATGATTAAAAAGCTGGCTAGATCTGCCGCAGGAGAAGATGCACCACTTCCTCAAGATGTCCGTTCACCTGCTGCACTCAGGCGAACACTCGATTATCTCATCGACACAGTTTTAGGAGAGGATGATAATCTTGCAGCTCAACATGAGTTCTTGTGGGATCGAACACGTGCGATACGTCGGGATTTCGTATTTCAATCCTCAATGAGCCCACCAGAATTGGCTGATCAAGTTTACTGCCTTGAAAAGATCACCCGGTTCCACGTTACTGCGTTACATCAGATGTCGAAACCTGAGGTTGCACCGGAGAACTTTGTGGAGCAACAGGAGGTTGAACAACTTAGCAAGTCTCTCCTTTCGCTGATACATGCTTATGAGGATTGCAATTTGCAAAATATACCTTGCGAGAATGAAGCCGAATTCAGGGCATACTATGTACTGCTTAATAGCAGTAATCCCGGAATCCTGGAGACGGTACAAAATTGGGGGTGGAAATTTTGGGGAGAATCGGAGCAAATTAAGATTGCCGTTGGCTTAGTTGAATGTCTACAAAATATCTGGAGCCCACGTGGCCCGCTACAACCATTTTCAGTATTGAACGTCGCAGAAAATGCCTTCTCTCGCTTCTTCACGATTCTGAAAGGGGAGAATGTTTCATATACAATGGCTTGCTTCGCTGAGATGCACTTCAACGAAGTTCGGAAGAACGCACTAAAGACAATATTATCGGCCTATCAGCGTCAGCGTGATCAGCCAAAGGACTGGAATATTGCCAAATTAAATCAATACTTGCACTTCGACGATCCATGGGAGATAGTTGACTTTGGCGAAGCTTATAGCCTTCGATTCGACGACCTGGATGATGATCCCTGCTTATCATTAGCCTTGGATAATCAAGTCGTTGATCCATTTCCTCCCATCAAACAGCCCCATTCCGTGGAAGTTGTCGAGCGAAAACGTACTGGTCATACTCTCACGGAGGTAATCGATATGACTGTGTACGAAAGGGTGTCGGCAACGACAACTCAGGGTGAAGAATCAAGCTCCGACGATGGATTGTTTGTGAAGGACAATATAGGAGGGCCTTTGAACGTGGAGGGCGCGAACTCATTCTCACCAGCAAGTACATTTCCTCAATCACCAAAGCCTCTCGGCTTTCCAGCGGCACAAATACCACCTCAGCAGGCTTTTGCGACGTCTCCAGCCACGCCATTATTCGGCTTTCCATCCGCAAGTCAGGCAAATACTGCCCAGCCCGCCACCAAAATCTCGTCAGAGAAACCAAAGGATGCAAACACTCCCTCTAGCTTATTCGCCGCACCTGCCCCAGTCGCCGCATCTACTCCATTCGCTTCATTTACTCCCTTTGCAGCCACACCAACAAGTACGCCGCCGCCACAACCTAAGACTGCAGAGCCAGCAAAGTTCACCTGGACATCAGACAATGGAGCATCATCGAAATTACCACAAACTTCGACAGATCCACCAAAATTCAATTGGCCTTCAGATAGTCCAGCCTCTTCAAGCCTACCCCGAACAACTCCCACAGAAAGTCCGAGACTTTCTCAATCATCAGCAATCAAAACTCCTACTCCTCCAACTCCAGCTCCAGTCCAGCAGATCACTGAGCCCGAAGTCAATGATTGGAGTTTCAGTTTTAAACCTGTGCCTCAATCCATGTTGTCCGAACCGGTACCGCAATCTTCTGCATTTGAAACCGCGAAGGCCACTCCATCTGTTCCAGCATCACAGCCGGATATCAGCAATCTATTTAAACCTGTCGTGAAAGAAACCCCGCAGCCTGTTATTCAGATACCCGCACCTGAAGTCTCCCCACTAGACAATTTTGCAAAATGGATTGCCCTCGGCGAGGATGGAATCGTTGAACAATTCATGACATATACCGTCCAGACCTTAGTTCAAGAAACAATGGAAAATTTTATGAAAGAGGAGGCCAAGAAGGCAAGAAAGGAGGCTAAGCGAATTGCCGAAGAGGAGGAGGAATTGGCACGAAAGGAAGCTGATGAGTTCCGACGTAATGCAGTAGCCGTGAAATATTTAAAAATGTGGCGGGTCAACGCCCATAATCTATGGGTACGCCGACAAGGGAGCAAAGCTAGAAGAGCTCGAGTAGAACATGCTGAAAGTATGAGAGCCTCCAAGGCTGCACTTTCGGCAAGCGTTGTTGACGACTTTAGAGTTTCAATCTCAAAGGGTAAAAAGCGAGTGAAAAACAGTCCTTCCAAAGATCGACGACCAAGCCTAGGGATCCTCTTGGAAGGAACTAGGGTTCTTGAAGGTGTGCACAACCCACATGACGAGATACGAGATATTGTGTATAATAGACATACCGAACATGGCAACAAGCGATTCAAGTCTTCTGTATCTTCTATCGCATCGGATTCGAGTTCAAACACGCATACACGCAGTCAGTATGAGGATCCTCTCCAACGTTCATTACTCTCGGATCCTTCTTTCCTCAATGGAGGATCTCGGATTCATCTTTTGCCCAGCTATCAAGCGGAAAACGAGACTCGGTCACAGCTTAGTGGTGTACAAACGGATTATTTCCGTTTGAAAGCCAGAGGCATTACCACTCTTCCTAATGGAACGCCTCTTGCTACTTCTGTAGCGAGAGACCCTTTACGCCAAAAACAATTTTTCGAAGGTAGTGGTAAGCCCATTAGACTTCGAAGACCGATGATACCGAAAGAGCAACCAATACCAAGAAGCAGCCCCGCTAGGGAACCCGCTCAACAATTACTTCTCCCTGCACCAACTGGCGATGAAGATATCCAGCGCCTAAAAGAGCGAGCTAGAGCCGTTATGGCAGTTGATTCCGGAACAAAGCGTGGACTGGTTGATGATGATGATGATGAACTGTTTGAGAGAGCAAAGAGAATTAGAGAAAGGATGGATAAAGATTCAGAGTGGTTAAGGCGAGAAGTTGATAGGTATTCTGAAAGTAGAAGTGGGTCATGGTCATAGATGTATCAACAGCATTTTGGGCGTTTTAGTAGCAAGGCGGTTCTTGTGAGGGTATTTCAAAGGAAGGAGTTTGGAAGCTAAACTTTGCATCTATGGTAGGCGTTGAAAGGATTTTATAGGATGAGGTTGATGATACCTTGATACCTTTTTGGCATTAACAGAATGTCACACAAAGAGAGGTTGGATGAGATCAGGCAAAAAAAATATCAATCTTCATTTGATTAATGAATGTTTTCCTATATAGTTTTCTTGATATTTATCTGGTGAAATTAATTAAAGATTCTGTGTACACAACCCTCATACTCAAACCCCTCAAAAATTGGTAATTAAAAATCATTTGTCAATTTCTGACCACGTGATCCCGGGAGCTTTACCCTGTCTGAACTAGCTCCCTCCACCAAAATTTCTCGTCAGTAAATTTTCTGGAGCTTGAAATCTTCGAGGAAAAGTGAAAAATATCCAACCACCTCGACAGCGACCACAAAACATCGGATATAGTAGATTCGTCAATTACCTTTATCCAAGATGGCGCTTGTATCGACAAAGAAAGACCAAGAGGTTGATTACACAATCAAGCCGGAAGCTTTAACTCCAGCTATTGACACCAGCAGCTGGCCATTATTGTTGAAGAACTATAACAACTGTATGTGTGAAGTTATTTGATCAATTGAATCATTACTGACATTGCTTAGTACTTGTCCGCACTGGACACTTTACCCCGATTCCCAATGGCTGCACACCGCTGAAGAGAGACCTCAAGTCCTACATCAGTTCCGGTGTCATTAACCTCGACAAACCCTCGAACCCTTCCAGTCACGAAGTTGTAGCTTGGGTTAAGCGCATGTTAAGGTATATATCAATCTATGCGCATTCAAGTTGCGACGAAAGCTAATTGTTACAAACTTTAGAGTTGAGAAGACTGGTCACAGTGGTACCCTCGATCCAAAGGTTACCGGATGTTTGATTGTCTGTATTGATCGCGCAACAAGACTCGTAAAATCGCAACAAGGTGCAGGAAAGGAGTATGTCTGTGTTATCAGATTACACGACAAACTCCCAGGCGGGGAAGCTCAATTTGCGCGCGCCTTAGAGACCTTGACTGGTGCTCTCTTCCAGCGTCCTCCTCTCATTTCCGCCGTCAAGCGTCAACTTCGTATCAGAACTATCCACGAGAGCAAACTTTATGAATTCGATAATGACAGACATTTGGGTGTTTTCTGGGTTAGCTGCGAAGCCGGTACATATATCCGTACTCTCTGTGTCCATCTTGGATTATTGTTGGGTGTTGGTGCACACATGCAAGAGTTGAGGAGAGTACGAAGTGGTGCTATGGATGAGACCAAAGATATGGTTACTCTCCATGATGTTTTGGATGCTCAATGGATGCAAGACAACGCACGCGACGAGGCATACTTGAGAAAGGTTATTCAACCATTGGAGACCCTTCTTACTACTTACAAGAGAATTGTCGTCAAGGATAGTGCAGTCAATGCTGTCTGTTACGGTGCCAAGTTGATGATTCCTGGATTGTTGAGATACGGTATGTTTGTCATAAAAATCTTCTCCCAATCCGCAATGATTAGACACGAGTTTCATGCACCACTCATATAGCCTTCGGGTTGTTGATGAGGAACAAACCACTTTTGAGAATGAGCAATGCGATATCATCCCATGTTTGAGATTTAAAATGAGGAGAATTCACGCTAATCAACCTTACAGAGGCCGATATTGAGGTTCACGAGGAGGTCGTCCTTATGACCACCAAGGGAGAAGCTATTGCTCTCGGTATCGCACAAATGTCCACTGTTGAACTATCATCTTGCGATCACGGTGTTGTTGCCAAGGTTAAGCGTTGTATTATGGAACGTGATCTCTACCCACGCAGATGGGGGATGGGACCAGTAGCAATCGAGAAGAAGAAGATGAAGACTGAGGGCAAGCTCGATAAATACGGAAGACCAAATGAAGCCACCCCAGCCAAGTGGAACAACGAATACAAGGATTTCAACGCTCCTCCTGAAGAGGGAGCTATCGCTATCCACCCAAAACCTGAAGTAGTCACCGCTGCTGCTGCTCCAGTACTTGCACCAATCGATGGAAACGCTGCCGAGGATGATGAAGAGAAGAGTGATAAAAAGAGAAAGAGACATGATGGAGAGACAGCCGAAGAGAAGGCTGAGAGAAAGCGCAAGAAGAAGGAGAAGAAGGTCAAGAGGGAATCAAAGAAATCCACTGGCGGCAGTTCTGACAGCGAGTAAAGTCGAAAAGTAGAATTTTCACTTAGCTCACTGTCATGATTGGATCTCGGTATAGATTTCCTCTTTTCTTTTTTCTCTGTTTTCTTATTCCTTACGGTGGGGATGAGAATTGGCGTTGATCAATGTTACTGTCTCTTTATGTGTGCAACGAATGCAGCATAGCTTTTGTATCATACTTGCATGGGTTCTTATTTGCAGGCAGGGTAGTTATAAAAGAATTCATTAAATAGGAAATTGAATAAAAGTATAGTTAAAATTACATTGCATGTTACATATCGATGTTTGGTGATATATTATTCTTTTGCACGTCGGCGTATTTGATATCAAGTCAATATAGAGACCAAGTAGCAACTACATAGCGATTATACTGTATAACACTCGTGTCCACATGTTGTCTCCTCACCACTTGGTCGGTTGTATTGTCTATGCTACTGGAAATCGTACTTCACCTCTCCATCTATCCAATACAAACATATTTTACTACTCAGGACATAACATACATATACTTTCGGCTCTCTTCTCTTCCAACACTCTTATCAATTTTCGAGTTTCTTTCCCTGCGCTGCCCTCTTCATATTCATCTTATCAAAGCTAATCCCAGCTTCATGTCCCACCAGGATGCAAATCCGAGGAATTGAAATTCTTAGGGTTTGTGTAGATGTGTGGGGCATGTGGATGTGCGTGTGTATGGATGGGTATATGTATGTGTGTAAACCTAGATATATAGTTATCCGGAGATAGGATAACATGTTAACATCATCTCTTCAATCTCTTCAATCTCTTCAATCTCCAAATTCTAAATTCCAAGTTCCAAGTCGTAGATAGGTTTGATAGCTTTAGTCTTTAGTTCTGTACTATTCCTAAATTTTGATATATCTATACTAATACATACTTCAGTTCACTTCACATATTGAGAATGATAATGAGGATGATTCTAGAATCTGAAGTCTGGAAGGATAGTCAGTACTGATAATAATATGTATATCTATATTCATATAAAACTACGCTCAAAATCCGCTAAACGAACTTTAAAAAGGAGAGAAGAAATGAGAACTGAGATTAGAAGTTAGAGGCTAGTTTTTGATTCAAGCCTCAGCATGTTAAGGAAAGTTCTCCTCATATATAACTTTAACCTACTAATCACTCTTTTAAAAGTGCTTCCGAGAACATTTATAATCACACCTCGATACTAAGTATATTAGATATATATATATATCTGTAGAGGTACTAGGTATTCGATCTTGGTGAATTATCTATCCGTTTTGTATTTTTCAGGAATCAGGAGTTAGGAGTCAAATGATGATGATGATAATATTTATAAGTTCTGTACAATAGAATGGAATAGGTACTAGAGAAGATGTGAATTGAAGTTGAACTGTGATGTTATTTTACTTCTGAGATGTTCTTTTTTTACCCGATTTCTTTTCTTTAATTTGATTTAATGAGAAATTTAATTTCAGAGATCTGATTTCTAAGATCTCATACTTTACTTAATCTTATACAGTTACACTTGATCTTATATTTAATCTCACTTTTAATCTCATTTATATACACCGTCAAAGAGTAGAAAAGTTGTATATAAATCGCAACCTATCAACACATGTACAATATGCCCCTCCTCTCTCTCCTTATTTTTCCTCCTCCCCCTCAAAAACAACACAAATCAAGAATTCCCTCGCCTCTCCCATCTCATAACTCACACTTCACACCACACTCACCATACCATAAATAACATATCAGCAATGGCCTCACATCCCTCACATCCCCATATCCCTACCACTCGCCCCCAACCCACTTAAAGGTTTCCTCGTCTCTTCAAAAACTCAGACCACAATCTACTATGAATATCCACACAAGAGTCTAATCAGTACATTAAACTTAATATATAATCTTCAGTTCTCAAAATTATATAACTATCAGGAAAGATATAAATGATTTGTAATTCATCTATACGTAATTATTTTAAGACAAAATTATATATAGACTTTAATTTTATACTATAAGTTTTTATCATTTAATATATAAACTTTTATAGAAGTTTGTTGTAAGAGTTGCTCTGTTTGTTAGGAAAAGTGATGATGAGATTAAGAGTGCTCTCACCCCTGAGAATCACTCAAGAATCAAAATTCAAAATGTATTCGAGAGTCGAGAATCAGGAGAACATACAGGAGGAAAGGTAGTAGTAGTAGTACTTGGTGATCAACTGAATAGCAGATGGAAATCAAAATACGAAGGACGGTGAATATGTAGGTATACTAGAATGCTACCCGGGTTGATAGAAATTTAAATATTAGGATTCGATCGGGGTGGATTGTGATAGGGTACTATTGGGGGTGTCATGGGTGTTATGGGTGTTATAAATGGTAGTAGTACTGGTATTGGTAGGACCGGGTAAGATGATATAGATATCGATTTACTTGGTAGATATGAAATTGGCAGAACAGCAGCAAGTAGACTAGCATGACCACTGCTACTTGGCAAATAATCAATCTTCAAAGTCTAGGATGAATCACATAGATAACGACTTTAGCATCTAGTCAACTTACAAAATTTCATCAACACGACATACACATAGCACAGCAGAAAGCCATCTCAAACCCAACCATTCATCAACATCTCATGTATTCGATCCCTCACAACCACCCCTAAGCCTTAAAGGCACTAACAATACTAATGACATCCTCATCCGCCACAAAATGACCCAACCCCACTCTCTGGGGCACATGTCTCGCGCTCGCTCCCCAAACCAACGCATATTTAAAAGTATCCTTCAAGGTCCTATGAATCTGATCACAAACATCTTCAATCCGCGATCCACTCCTTACAATCAACGCTTCCGAGAAATCCGGATCTACTCCCTTCCTCTTCGTATAGATACGAATGAGTTTCAATTCTTCCCAGCAGCGATCAACAACATCGCGAATGCCGAGATCCATTTCGCAAGACATAACGACGGTGTGGGGTTCCCGAGCGAGTTTGTCGAGGAAATCGAGAGAGACGCTGTCGATTTTGTTGTAGACGTATAGACATTTGATGTATTTGCGATGGTCTTTCATGATGACGTCGATGAAATCATCGACGGTGCAGTATTCATCTCGAACGAGAACTTCGCAGTTAAGAATTTTGTAGTCTCGGAGAATGTTGTAGATCATCTTCTGATCGATATATTTGGGTGGTGTTTGGAAGGTGATTTTCATGCCGCCAGCGGCTTTAGGTTTGAGGTAGATGTTTCTGGATGTGTTAGCTGTAAATCTACCACACCATATTTCTTAGTATAGATGAAGAAGTGAAAATATACATACGGTGGTTCCCTGTTCAGCCTAATCCCAACAGCTTCCAATTCCGCCTCCAACAACGCTCTCTGCTCCGCCTTCTTCGTAGCATCCAAAACCATCAAAATCAAATCACTCGTCTTCGCCGCACTAATAACCTGTCTTCCTCTACCCTTTCCCTCTGCCGCCCCCTCAATAATACCCGGCAAATCCAGAATCTGAATCTCCGCCCCTCCATACTCCAATACACCAGGAATAGCCGTTAGCGTCGTAAACGAATAAGCCGCCACGACAGATTTCGTCTTGGTAATCTTGGACAAGAAAGTAGATTTTCCCACAGATGGGAAACCCACTAGGGCAATTCGCGCATCTCCGGATTTGGATACGTCGAAACCTGTGCCACCAGCTCCTCCAGCTCCTGGACCGGGCTCGAGAAGTTGGGCGCGGTAACGGGCGAGTTTTCTGGATTGCGTGGTGAGCAAGAAGAATCATTTGTCAGGAGAAGCCAAAAAGAAAAAGAACAAACAAACCCTTTGAGAAGTCCAAGATGATATTCTATAGCATATCATATCAGTGATGATCACGTGTTGCGAGTTCTTCCAAATAGTACATACCAGTCGCCTTATTTTCTATTCTCACAATTAGTACACATTCACACGATGATTCCCACCTCTCCAATCATCACACATGCAGCCCAAACCCTCCAGGTTCATTCAACTTACTCTGCGTCCTCCTCATCTCATCCTCAATCCTTCCACAGCATTAGTATTCATCATCCACATTTCATTTCCCCTACACCCCCCCTTCCCGACACCAGAAAACTCACTCCTTGATCTTTTCCGTAATATTAACCATCTTGACGACTTTGGGCTCTACAAGCCAGTATAACCTGCAATTTCAAAGAAGCGTGTACGAGAAGAATCCAACTTGTGATTTTTCGAGGTTCTCGTTTGGGCACACAAAAGCGGTGGAAGATGGCAGAAACAGACCAATTTTTTTGAGAGTTTGTTTTTCTGACACGGCCGGAAATGAGCTCTAGAGAGTGTTCTTATTCCTAGTCGATGTAATTTTTTAAAATTTTGTCCCTAAAATGCGAGATGTCAATTACAAAAGTGAACAATTTTTCAGACGTGCAACAAAACTATTTCTACCGATGTTGACCCGCCACACACGTGATTATCCCTCCCTGCAACAAATGACTTGGGAGCTTCTCGGTAGGTTATGGGCAAATGACACTCGAGTATTTTGATTCATTCGAACCTTTTATTAATTTGCTTGCAGAATTGATGGGCACGGTAAAACAATTTAATTTTTTGTCTTGCGATACTTGAGGTAAATCTTTTCTTTCAATCTATCTATTTTATCTTCTCATCTATCCATTAAGTAGAGTGAGTGTTTCTTCACTCTTCCATTTTTCCTCCATCAAAGCCATCCATCCATTATTGATTTTACCATCAACCCTCTGAAACAGGAGTTTCAGTGATCCATTATAGCCAAAGAAAACGAAAGAAATGCAAAACCATCGCTTAGCTACGCCATGCCAATATGCAATCAATCAATCAATCAATCAATCAATCAATCTATACCCGCCTTCGCATCGACACCCCCCCCTCTCTCCTATCAACCCTTTCCACAGCTCTTCCATCACTCCTCTCCGCATCCCTAAAAACTCCCTGTTCCAGCATCCCCCACCTAGGAACCCATCTGCACCAAGACCAAGCCCCCTGACCTGTAATCGTCGTCACAAAATTAGTTACGACAGAGCCCTCATTTATCTCTCTAACATGCCCCCCTATCATGGAGCAAACTAAAGCAATGATTTAGGCGTCGACTTCTTCTGTCCTACAGTCGATCTCAAGCCTGAGGTTTGGATAGCTAATGTTGGATCATACATTCTTCCTATAATCCACTCATCGAGTTGCTCATCATTCATACCACGAATAGCAGGTTCACGATCGAAGTTGAATTGCTGAGCTGCGCGGATTACTTGACGAGCGACAATGACGCTTACTTCGCGAATGCGGTTGAGTTCAGGATAGAGACGACCGGCGGAAATTTCGGAAGGGGTAAGGGAGGTGCTGAGGGCTTCGGCTGAGGCGTAGATCTGTGGGATCATTGGCTTAGTTATTTTGAGATTCACAAGAAAGGACATGTAAATTGAACGTACCATTTCTTGATTGATGCACGAGGCTTTGCAAAGAATTGATCCGAGTCCGATACCAGGGAATACATACATATTGCTAGTATCTCATTAGATTTCAAACACGGTAACACGGCACGCGAGAATACTTACTTTCCTTGTCCAGCAGAATATGTTTTGCCATCTTGAACATAATCTGGGAATGGACTTCCACTAGCAAACAAGGCTCTGCAATCGGTCCATTTCATAGCTTCCTCGAATGTACATTCAGCTTGACTAGAAGGATTAGATAGTGGAAAGATGATCGGATTCTTATTCAACCGGGCCATTTTTCTGACAATTGACTCATCGAAAATCCCTCGGATAGTGGATAATCCCATCAAAATGGTAGGCTTAACATAATCAACCACTTCTGGAAGAGTTTTGTATTGCTTTCCCTCGTTGTCATCACGGGCAAAGTAGACTTTATGGTCAGCCAACTTATCACCTCTGTCGGTTGTGATCAGACCCTACGGAAATTAGCTTCTGATTTCAAGCAAGAATGGAAGAGTTTATACCTTAGTATCAACAAACCAAAAGCAACGACGTGCCTCATCTTCCGTCAATCCCTCTTTTCGGAAGAATTCCACAATTTGTTGCGCAACACCTACGCCAGCACTACCTGCACCCATGAAAACAGCTCTCTGGTCTTTGACAGGAATACCTGTTCGACGTAAAGCATTAATGATACCTGCCAAGATGACCGCACCAGTACCCTGAATATCATCATTGAAACAAGGATATCTGTTCTGGTATTTTGCGAGAGATGGGAAAGGATTTTTGAAATCCTCATATTGAACGATGATCCTATTCTTGAATTAGTAAATTTCCTTCCACCGAGAGAACATCTGAAGCATACCCAGGCCACATCTTGTTCAAAGCCACCATCAACTCCTCCATAAACTCAGCTTCCTCTTTGGTAGAGACCCTCTTCATTCGATTTCCCATATATAATGGATCTTTGAGAAACCTTTCATTGTTGGTACCAAGATCCAAGGTAATTGGCAAGGTCTTCGAAGGATGAATACCGGCACATCCAGTGTATAATGCCAGTTTACCCACTGGAATACCCATACCATTAACACCCAAATCACCCAAACCAAGAATACGAGAACCGTCAGTAACGACCGTCATCTCAACTTCTGAATGACGCCAATTGCTGAGGACTTCTTCAAGATTTCCTCGATCATGGTAGGAGAGATATAAACCTGTTCTTGTCAGTTTTTGATATTGAAGTCTGGGAAGATTATGGAATACCTTCGGGTTGTTGATAAATCTCTGACCATCTCAAACATGCTTCTCCAACCGTTGGCGTATATATCAAAGGCGTGATATCCTACAGACAATTGTCAACTCCAATTGCAATTATTTCACTTGTATCCCATCCCCTCAATCCTTCAATCCCTCATCCGCTCACCTCCTCTCCTTGAAAGATCAAAATAAAAACATACCGTCAAATTCTCCTGCACCAATCGATAAAATAAATGAACATTATTATTTCTCAAATTACTGAGATACATATATTTTTCAATAGGAGTCTTCTTGGCATTTAATTGTTGAAGACCTTGTATCAAATCAGCATATTCTCTCCACATCAAGAAGCTATCCTCTTGAATGGACAATCATATCAAATTCATCCTCAAAAATACTCACATCTTGTTGTCTGAAGCTTATGACTTTCCACACTAGGAGGAACAAGACCCAATGTCTTATTCTTTCTTCTCATCTCTATTGAATGTGAGGTATCGGGATATATACTATACGTATTCCATTATTAGTTTATCTTCTTCAACATTGATATACCTACCCAGGTATAATCATCAACATCTCAAACCCGAACTCCCCGCCCAATGCCCCCTCAAAACAAAAAGGAGACAGAAACAAACAAACTCGTGACTCACGGATGCTCGAATTTATTCATATTGACAATATCTTTCTCTGAAAATCTCTCATCCAAAGACGGCATAAGGTTATTCTTCGTAGCTGTAGGATCAACAAATGATTTATAGGATCTAGGAATCTTCGTATCTAAGTGCTGATTGGGACTCTCATCAAAAGATCTCACGTCTGCACTCTCTGGTTTTGTAGCCGCTCCGGAAGCTGTCGATTGGGATCGATTCATAATCATGGGGAAGGAGCATAGCCTTGTGCCACGGATATGGCTATGGCTCAGAATCTGAACCCTGGAAAATCGTAAGCCTCGGTACATTTCGTCCCTTTACCTAGGTAATGTTGGTTCCAGATTTATCGTACAGAGTAAGAGATGATTGGACTTTTCTCTTGAGGATATTTTTGATAGGATGAGGAAATGGATGGATTGGGTTATAGGGGAAAAGGTCGAATTTTCAACAAAATGGGCAGAAAAAAGTATGTATCGTAGGAAATTGAGATTTTGGGCAACAATAAGACGTGAATTGAGTGGGTCAATCGTGTATATACGGGACCAAAAAGTCCATTTTTATGTCACTTTCCCTTCTCGCTCGTTAACCCAAAACCTCAGCTTAAGCCATATCGGAGGGTTGAGGAAGGAATGACATGAAAATCTTCTGGTATCAAATCTTCTTTTTATTCAATATTACATACTCAAGTATACATACATATACTTCTTAACTATCCAATCAATCTAATTATACCTTTACATTCTTCACCGCATTCTCTACTTTTGTGTTTTTGGAGGGGAAGTCCGGGGATGAACATCATGCCATGCCAACAGAACTATTTTCGAATATCGAGGGACGCGCACAATGGTGTTAGAACATGTTAGAACAATGTAAGCCGTGTCTTAGTGCCTAAAGAAAAAGATTATCTTTACCTTTCTCTTCTGAGTGTGCCGTGTCCGAGCTTCTAATGCATTTTGGGCGTATCCGAGGTCGGAGCTATTGCTTGCTGCTAGGTGATTATTCATTGCTGCGTCAATCCGTTAACTCATCAACTCATCGGTATATCAGCCAGAGCGCCTTGAGGTGCATCTCCCGCAGTGACATTTAGACCGTTCATCTGCACTGTGTTGTTCTCGGCATGAGAATTGAGGACCGTTTGTTGGTTAAGTGTATTTCGCCATTCGACAAATTCATCAGATAGTATGCCACCATGCCCCTTTTCTTCTACCTTGAATACCTCAATGGCCATGGATTTCTCTCTCCTTCGGATCTTCCACACACCATCACCGATGATAGTTGCTTTCAGGACTATCTTTGTTAGCCACAACAGGAATGAACAATGGTTCTAACTTACATTGAAGAATCTGATTTGCGAAGTTGATACACATATCTCCATCCCATGAATTGTTTCCTCCTCTCTTCACCATGCCAGGTATTTGGGCGGTGTTGATTCTTTCGACGCTTTGAAGAATTCCATCAGGACTTCGTTTCCCGACTATGATATGAGGAACTCCAAGCAAAAATGACTGGAGCCAGAATTTCAGAAGCTTTTTCTCAAAATTCTGCTCATCTCCTCTATGTCTAGGAGTCACGCTTGTTTTTAACTCAAGCCATTCCGTAGATTTTCCATCCTTAGACTTTGATCCCTTATATACTGGACTCTTGTTAGATACGAATCATCAAGCTATAAGCTCTGTAAACATACTTCCGTCAACTTCTCCACCAATAACCACAGCATTACTTCCAATTTTTGTTTTTACAATGGAACAATATTGGGTATGGTTATTGACCATCTCAGTATCTCGATTCTCGATATAATCTCGAGACGTTTCTGGCCACGGCGTAGGCATAAGGCATAAAGTTTCGAACTTATATCCTATCTACAGTCAATGAAAATTACGAAAATCCATCCAAGATACCCCAGACTTACCCCAAAAACTCATCATATCTCCTGAAGGTCTTCCTGGTTGTGGTCGCTGTCGTGCATCTTGCCTAGCTCTGGCCATAACTTTATATTGATGATCTTCCTCGACAAAGCTATACAAGTCAGCTTGATGCCCACACGACGATAGTTCATCATCAAGCATACATTGTTTCCTTCACCTCGATTAGTCCCGAAAATCTGAAACCTCATACCCATTACTCAACTTACCTCAAAACACGTGGCATTCATCTGGAACCCATCTCTAGAGTCAAACAAACTCGCAATAATCTATACCCATTCTCATTAGCGTTTTCCTTACTTATTTCTCCTCGATTTAGACGCACTTTGGTCATCATCCCCCTCCAAGTAATAATGTCCGCCTCAGTCTTAAGATTTGTCGTTTTCTCTTTCTCGATCAATGACCTCAACAACGATTCCAGATGTTCGTCCTTAGAATCATCATGTTTACGGAATGTTTCAAATCCACGATTCAAATCCGTCCCTGTATCCGGCGGATAATACCAGCGAATTGAAGAATCATCTAAATGAAACTCGTGATTGTCATCATAAGAAAAATGAGCGATCTCCTATTTTAATTGTTAACCTTAGTCCAGAAAAGATGAAGTGGTGGTTGGCGAAGAACAATATACCTGTGGTCTGGAAATTGCAGTATTACCAGCTTCACGAGTTCTCTCAAATTGATTTAGGGGGAGAGTATTAAATACATGGACTTGAGGATGTGTTTGATTGTGAGTATTCATGATGAAGTGACATCTAGGTATGGGAATTGATAATGTTCTAATAGGAATTTGGATGATCTATGAATATTAAAAATTCCACGAATGGGGGAAGACTCGAGATATCAAAAATCGTGATGTGAATAAATGCTAGATTGGTTGTCAGGTGCTGGCTTGAACGAGAACAAGTCTAGACATTAAATTCGCTTGAGACAAGGCAATGAGGCAAGACAAGGCAAAAAGTGTACCTACCAGGGACGGAGTACTCGAGTAGCTCTATGGAGTCAATGGGATGGTTTCGTCTGATTTGTCTAGATGATCCCCCGTTCATGCTTGTTCCCCGCTAATGCAATATTTACAGCCTTACAATAATTCAATGTTTACTTTACCTGGGTAGTGGTTCTGCGAGAGCTATATGTGACCAATGGTTACTGGGCAATTTGGTCATTACAGTACAGTACAGTACAATACAATACCAACATCCATAGCTATCCTCTTCTAAATATTGATATACGTCCTATACCTTTACCATTCCTTCGATTACTTCTCTCTCTACCTTTTCACAACCAAATCCGCATCGAAAAACAAACAAAACAAATCTTCCTCCAAACCTCCAAACCTCCAAACCTACAGGCGATTTATAGACCTACAAACCAAATCACACCAGCAACATGCCCGAACGTCGCAATCCCACCAGCGCCAATGCACCCATCCGCCCCTCCGTCCGCCGTAGTCTCTTTCCCTCCCACCTGCGCACCTCTCACACCGCATCCACCACCCCTTCGCACACCTATTCTCACACCACCCCCACCAACCCCGCCCCCTCGCATCCCATCCCATCGCTCCCCCGTCGTCCAACCACTTCCTCAACCAGCACATCTGCCGAAACGCTTCGTCTAGACCACGCATCCACATTTCCTTCGCATTCCTCACACTCCAACGATCGCGATGCGAATTTTCATTCCTTCTCGCATAATGGACATGAAAGGAATGGGAGTCGGAACAATAGTACCCTGTCGTTTGATGGCACGACCGATATAGTAATGCGGGATAAGAATGGCGATTTTGATATTGGGAGTATGATGATAGGAGGGGGGATAGATCCGGGAGGGGATCTGTCGCTTGGAGCTGATGATGAGGATATGGTTGGGGTTGAGGGAGAGGAGGAGAGTGAGTTTGTTGTTTTCTTTCCCTTGGAGGTCTGGAAGATAAGAGTGTAAGGAGGAGATGGAAAGAGGGGGAAAAGTTTTATTACGGAGAAATGCTAATGCAACCTTGGAATAGGAGAAAGACAACGCCTCAATGATTCGATAAAACATCATCAACGAGATCGCAATCGTGCGCCGAGTGAACCCGCCGGTTAGTACGATTCTTGCCTAAAATATACTTCTTTGTACACTGGGTCCCACCAAAGTTCATATATCAAACAGATATTAGAACTTGCGCAAAGATGATACTAACCGAATATCTAGAATTACTAGAAGCAGTACGGAATAGTCTACGCGCGAAGACAGCTGCGCTATCAGATGATAACTGGATGTATGAAGCGGAAAATGAAGGGGTTGTTCGATAGGAGTGAATAAATTCTGCAGAACTCATGCTCACAATAGAGATGCGATACAAACCTGCAATAAGAGCGTTGGAGCGACTTGTATTGGATATGTTATGTAGGATACCGCTGGGCTAGCACGCTGGCAATACTTGAGGTAGAGACAAATCTGTTTAACACGGCGTAAAGTTTAGATGGATGCATGGAACGGGAATTGGGATACCCAGGGTTGGTCCTTCAAATTGGGGTAGTTTTACGGAGTATTGGTATTAGTATTGGTATCTATCTTTTTTCCTTCTCTGGAATTGAATGACTGTAGTTTGAGACCATCAATCATCCATTACTCCCCCATCCAACGTAAACCCTCGGCTCTAATCTAGACCCTCGGCCACTGGTGCACTCCCCGACTGACCAATCCTCCTAGCCTGCGGTTGCTGTGCTCCACCTCCCATCCCACCCCCAAACATACTCCCCATCATATCCAACAAAGGATTTCCCTGTCTCGGTCTCTGAATGCCAAAATACATTTCTCCCACACTCGTCAACGCCTCCTCCCACATCTCCCCAGCCTCCTTCATCTGTCCCGCATACTTCTTCGTCAACTGTTTGAAATCCAACGAATTTCCCTTCTGCACCGCCACCAACAACAGGCCCAGAAAATTCAACAACGGAATCGACGGATAAATCTTAATATCCTCATTCGTGCCCCCCAATTCCTGCACCGTCAACCCCGCATTCACCTCTCGCAACCGGCTCGTAAAACTCCCCAAACTCTTGCGCGCATCCCGCACATTCCCCACCAGCAAATAGGGCAACACCGCTCGACTCGCATACAACGCCGCAGTGTGACTATCATCCTCAACATACCATTCATATTCCATCTTGGCCAACACCTCTGCCGAATCCTTCGTACCCAATATCAAGTGTCGTTCCGCATCATATACTTCTCCTTCCTCTGCGAGCAAACTTCCTATCACATGGTGTAATTCTGGATCTCCGGCGGGATACGCAGAGGTTTTGGAACTCCACGCGATGGTTTCGGTGATGAAGCGCTTGCGGCTTGGTTCCTCGGGGGAAAAGGCACGGAGGAGGGTGAAGAGACGACCTTTGGATGAGGAATCGCAGGGGAGAGATGAAGTGTTGTAGACTTCGAGGAGGAAGAGAGCGAGATCGCCGCCGGAACCGCCTTGAGCGGCTTGGAGAAGGGAGAGAGAAACGGAATAGAGAATGTCGGCTGCGGCGGGGTAGTTTTGGGATTTGATGTAGCGGGAGGCGACGACCCGGGTTTGTTGGTGTGCTTCGTAGTAGGTGCCTTCTGCGGTTTTTGGGGGGTGGTTAGTGAGGAATGAGGAATGGTTTTGGGTGGAGTGAGGTGGGAGAGAAGAAGGAGAATGAGTAAGAGGGGGAGGAAGGAGTTACGAATTCTTACTTTTCTTGCAAACGCGCAATGATCTTATCGATCTTTGCAGACATTTTGGTGGTATGGTATAATCTCAAGACCTTTATTTAGATTGTAAGAATTTTCTAGATTAAAATGAAGTTTTGTGCACTGCGTTGTGTTCTGCGACGAGGTGGTTAAAATTGCACAAGCTTGAGAGGTGGTGGGATGAGATTCAAAGCTCGGAAGTTATTACGTGGTGGTGGCGCGGCCGCTGCAGGGAAATTTATAGTGAGCCTTGAATTGAACCAAGTACTGACGGAATGACAGCAGTTCAATCGATTAGAATTGAAAATCTGGGGTTACAACAAATCATGAAATTGAAATAGTCCTTTAATTAATTTAGCATATGAAGGCACCAGCAATATAATGGGCTCAAGATTAGCTGTTCTTTTTACTTCTACGCTTGCAATAAATGTGCTCCCGGTGAGCTGAACTCCTGTACGCTGAATCTCAAGTTCACCGGGGGTATACCTACAAAACATTTCCAAAATGGTCAAGTTACCTTGTAGATACCTATCTAGTACTCAAGGTGTCTAAGAAAATGCACTAAGAATAACTCAGTGGTACCTACTCTTCATTCGCAACTTTACTAGGATTTCATTCAATGTACACAAATCACAGTCAAAAAGCTTCAGGAAAATTAGATAGATAAATAGTAAACTTGCTAATTCGAAAAAGCCAACGTATCATTTGAAAAAAAAATTGAAATTTGGAAATTCCAGAGTCATAATCTCGTTCCTGTCACCTATCACCAAACGAATATTGTGATGTTATCCACTCAAATTGCCCTTCGTGCTTTCCCCCTAAGAAATAGATTCTCACAATTATGAACGCGCAATTAGTAACGCTAGATTTCTGTTAATACATCTTTGTCTTGAAGGCTAATGGAATCAATCTACTTACAGGAGGAACTGGTGGGCCTCCACCTGGTCTGTATTGTTGTTGACCAGGATAAGCACCACCTGGAGGAGGAGCACCATATTGTCCTTGTTGTTGAGGAGGGTATTGGCCTTGTTGTTGTGGAGGATATCCACCAGGTTGTTGTCCATAGCCTTGAGGAGGGCCTGGAGGAGGGGCATAACCCTGTTGTGGTTGTCCATATTGACCGCCAGGTGGTGGAGGACGGCTTCCTTGTTCATCCTTGGTATCGTAGGAGGAATCAATGGCACCGACCAAAAGCTTCAATAACCACAAATCAGGGGTCAAATCTGTTCCTGGGTTGGTTCGGGCCATTTCATCCTGTTCGGCTTCGAAGTTGGATGTACAATCAATCAAATCTCCGATGGTTCTATCGTCATCGAGTTTCTTCAAGAATTCAGTAGCCTGCTTGTCATTTCCGACTTGGGCGAATTGATAAGAAATGGCTTGTTTTCCGTATGGAGTACGTGCGAGCTCGGCTGAGGAGTTCTTCACAAGTTGGAAAACATCGTCTTGGTTATCTGGTTGACCATCGGTAATAACGATAACCAAAACTGGCTTTTGAAGTGAGTTGGATCTGACCTTGCTCATGATCAATGGCTCTACCACCTTGTTTCTAAGTTGTGCACCTAATGGAGTCAAACCCTTGAATTGGACGCGCTTGACAAGTTCCTCAACTTCTGGCTCAGATCGAATGTGGTTTCCTTGTACATCACTGTTGATGAAGCGAACCTCGATTCCATCGGCATCGAATAGAGATCCGGCGTATGCGGCCCTTCCTAATACGAGCTTCATGTCATCAATACGGGAACCATTCTCCTGGAAAATCATAGAACCACTGTCATCTTTACGGAGTCAGTAATTTATTGTACGACGCTCAAAAAAGTTTGCGAACATACCAACGAAGAGAATAATGTCGAATAAAGCAAGCTTTACAATATCAGCACCCAGCTCCTTTGGTACGTTCCAGGTTTGGCACAGTTGATCAATTTTTTGTGGAGCAATGGCGCAAATTTGATCAAGAATTTGAGGGTTTCTGAAGAAGTTACCCAAGTTCTTCTCTCGGATAGTGTCCTCAAGAGATTGCTTAACCGCTTGTGGTGGAATAGAGCTTCCACCTGGAACGTAACCCAAAGGTCCGGCGCGAGGTGGAGCTCCTCCTTGTGGTGGACCACCAGGGTAGGCTTGATATTGCTGACCTATTTGAGATTGTGTTAGTTGGTTTCCAGTATTTTGTCTATATTGCGAAGGAGGAGGAAATGATTGCGTTGGTGTAGGGGGCTGGTCTCGTGGGTTCGATGGATATGGTTGATATGGCTGCTGATATTGCTGCGGAGGAGGTTGTGAATGCCCATATTGGCCATATTGGCCATATTGTTGGTATTGTTGGGGAGGTGGGGGTTGCCCATATGACGGGTTATACTGATTGTACTGTTGATGTTGCTGTGTTGGAGGTGGAGGTGGAGGATGTCCATATGACTGAGGATGGGGCGACGTTGGAGGTTGCCCATAAGGAGACGCTGGAGGTTGCCCATAAGGGGACGATGGAGGTTGCCCGTAAGGTGAGGGCTGCCCGCCATACGGAGATGGCGGAGGCTGCCCATAAGGGGACGGGGACGGTTGACCATACGATGGATATTGCGGATTGGGGGATGGGGATGGGTGCACAGGTGAAGAAATCTGACCTTGCTGACCTTGACCATACTGTGGTTGACCGCCAGTTGGCTATATTATAATCAGCAAACATTCATTTTCAAACAGACGTTGAGGGTTTGCAAGGAGTAAACATACATATGGTGGTTGACCAGGTTGAAGAGCTGGAGGAGCTCCTCCTTGTGCCTGCTGTGCAGCTGCCATCTTAGAAGCTAGCTGTTCCCCCGGATACGCATTAGTATTTGGTCTTCCGTACATCTTGATTTATGTGTATATAAAGACTTTAAAAGCTTACCCCCATTCTTTCGAAGTAAGATTTTAATAGTCTTGTGTAGTTTGGTTTTGAAGGATCTTCGTAAACAAAAGGATTCTCAAGTAGTTTATGTAGACAATGAAAGGTCTAGTTAAAGGTTGTCGTGGATATGTGAGTGATGGGGAGAAAGTAAACCGTGGCGGGCGTAGCTTAAGGTTAATATGATGGTGGGGTGATGATATAATGAAATACCTGTTGATGACGAACGCAGGGATTCACAGCCCTGTAACACGCTCTAACTATCTACGAAAGACCACAGTGAATTAAAACGGACCATTCACATCTGTTTTCGTCAAATTGTGTTGTTTATCCAAGGAAGAGGGATGAACTCTTGGTTGCCTTTGTCTTGCTTACCTTGCTTTGAGCATGCTTGCCACATGCTTGGTCGAAAGAGGCTATGCTACATGCGTACCTTGCACTGGTGTAGAACTCACTATTGCATACGTGATGCAATACAAGTATGTAGATAGACATATCTGTAGGTTATGATACGAGCCACCGTATTTGTTGCCTCTAATCGTATGCAAAAGATATAAATGTAAAAATGTAAATAAACATTTGAGCTTCGTACACCGACGGTCGGATGATCACGGCAACAGAGATTTGGTCCAGGGGTTAAGAGGGGTCAATATACTGCACTAGCGTAGATGCCGAGCTAATAGTGGAGTTTATTAAATGTTTAGGCTTCGTTTCTATGCC